AGTACGTTAGGGTTAAGGTTAGGGTTAGAAAGAAACTCGGACAGAAGTACATAGCAATCCTCCCTATCTGTCATTGTTTATGCAAAATAAAAAAAGGGAAGAAATTGTGGAAATAGTTGCCTTCATACTTTATCTATTATTATTTAGCCGTCTCCTTTATAATTAATAACGGCTCAGTAAGCCAGCATGCACAATACCAGAACCCTGCTGCTAGCTCACCCACATTGGCATGCAGTCGTTCTTAATGTCACCAATTACACCTGTGCCTTTTCTGATATGACATGTTAAATTGTATGCTAGTAAAAAGGTCTGTTTAAAAAATCTATTTTGAGCGTACTCGCACATTTTCTCTTATTCTTGCAGGTTAATGGTGTGAGGAGCTATGCTGGAAATGACATGGTGTCAACAAACAATGACTACGTTTACGTCAAAATATTCCATTTGTTTACAAGGCGATTGAAAATTAGACTAGTAGTCCTGTTTACATGCATCTGTGCGTACTCTGATTAATCAAACTGTTAACTGTTAATGTCTTTTTTGCAAGTTTTTCATAATGTCTAAAAATAGTTGTGTTTCTCCCTCCGACCAGAAATATGGGCTTTTCTTTTGTGCATGAATCTCTACTCCAGCCTTGCAAACTGTTGGTTTGTTTACAACACACAGAGATGACTGTAAACGGGAAAGAGGCCGTGTGTCGCAAACTGCCGAAAAAACCCCCCAAGTGAGACCCACTGAATGCGCTGTGTACGGAGAATGCTCTTCAAACCCGAGTAATATTATAGAAGTTACTAGTGAGTTGAAATCACCTATGTGGATGTGCGACGGATGTTAATATGCTTTCTGTCAGTTATTGAAAGAAGGTGATCTGATTTTGTCTTTCTTAAGTCCTGACATAATCTTCTGTTCTGTGATGACATAGTTAATGTACCCTTCATATAAGAGTATATATGAATTCAAAATGGTCCCCTAAATAAAACATATTAGATGATATGTCTTAAGATCAGGCATATTTAGGAACCGTTGTCTGAAACGCAACTGTTGACATTTTGTCAGGAATAGTTTGTTGATAAAAGAAAGGAAAGATACAGTATTCATCGGGGGAAATGTTATAATTTTCCAAACTTCTCTCCAAGAAGGCCATGTTTACTGTTCCTTAAAAGAGTAAGGTAAACATGGCCTCTCAGAGCTTCTTGTGAATTACTGTCTCCCTTAGTTATTTAACTAAAGTGGTTTAATCCATCAAAATGGTAAAAATTACAACTTGGGAAGTGCAGGAGCAAAAATTATCACTATCCTCTCACTGTGGGTGCATCATGTGACCCCCAGGGAAAGTACTTCTCAACATATTGTGTTTTTGGTGTCTGAAAACAGCAATTTAACTTGCTAACTAACAATGGAAGTCCAAAATGGAAAAAAAATCTTGTATTTTAAAGTGCATCTACATTATCAGGGACATGGCCTCAGTGTCTCTGTGCCTCTGCTGCTCTCTCTCTCTCTCTCTCTCTCTCTCTCTCTCTCTCTCTCTCTCTCTCTCTCTCTCTGTTGTTGGGTTATTCTGTTCATCCTAAGCAGGCCTGTATCTTGCTTGGGGACCAGCTCATTACAGCGTTTCAGCATTCATTGTCAATTGTCCTTGTTGCAGAGGAGGAATACTTTCAAGCTTCCACAGACTAATGTGCCTTCAGACAAGCAATGTGTATACAAGCAGGCCTCAGCAGCAGAAAGACTACTAAGTAAGAGTAGTGCTGTCTACTAATGATGAGCGTGTGTGTGTGTGTGTGTGTGTGTGTGTGTGTGTGTGTGTGTGTGTGTGTCTAAAGTTAAGTCAGCAACATAAACAAATCGAGTGCTGGATTCAGGGCTTTAACTTTTCTTAATTACAGTAGTCACATACGGTGTGTGCACATAAATGATTGCCAAGCCACTCAGTAAAGTTAATCTGTAACAAGATGACTTGCCAACAATGTTTTTAACAACAAGTTCAAGTTATTGCGTATTAAATTATAAAGACAGCATTTCTATTAATTGGCAGGCTCAGTGCCTGTGACATTGAATGATCCCTTTGTGCAATGAAGTCTGATTGTGAGCAACAGAAAGCTTCTGGTAAGGCTTTTCATACATGCACTCACAGTGCATACATTTCTAAACAAGCATATAAACATAGAGGACACAATTTGTTTGTGTCCTTTTTTCTGCCATTCAGTACAGCATCAGTTATTGCACTCAAAGACACAGACAGAGAGGAAGAATGAGAAAAACACAAGATAAGAGATTAAGGGAGAAACAATCAGTCTCCCTGTGTGAGAGAAATAATGTAACTCAGTTTGTTGCCATCATATTTACATACTGCCTGAACTCCATGAAAACGTTTCTTGTAGTTTTTCTGGAAGTGGAGCTTTATAGTTTTTCTTATCATTTCCAAAGTGCTCTTTTAGCCATGCTGGATAATTTTTATCCATCCATTTTTTTTTTTAGCTCTGGCAGCATTATTGTAGCCCAAAAAGATATCAGGAAAACCGTCATGCTTAACCAAGAAAGCTGTAACTAATGTTACGAAAGTCCAGCAAGTTCACAAAGATCAGATTCCTCCTATAATTCTACTTTTTCAGTGACCTCGACAGGCAGCCAGCCAGCCAGTGTCTAAATGAAAGTGGCAATTCACATTGCCTGTCTAGTCCAGTACACATACAAATCCTGAATGTGAGCTGAGGAAACTTCAATACACTGTTATTATTAAAAACACATGCTTGGAATTGTGGGATATCTCAATCTATGTACAGCACAAGAATCTGAAAAACAGACAAAGTTATACTTTAAGTTGACCCGAAAGTGTAGCAAAACATTTTTTTCACAATTAACTGCATTGCATTTTAGCTACAGCCAGATGATACTGTCGGGCCTTAAATTGTGAGGTTCAGATGTACTTGTGGTCATATAAGGAAGCAATCCGTAGAAAAACCTGCTAACTAGTTATCCCGGTATTTGCTGTGAGGTAGCTGATGCAGTGATACTGTGTGGGAGGGATGTCTGGGATATCCTGTGGGAATTTCTTTTTCTGTATTTCCACAATGTAAAGGGTGAAGCTCCACAGCACGTTCTAAATCGAACCTCCCTGGAGATTCCTGGTAGCTTCTACACAGGTCTCAGCCCCATTAGTTCATATCACAGCTTGAATAAACTACCTGTGTGTGTGTGTGTGTGTCTGTGTGTGGCCACTGAGCCTTAGAAAAGAAATCTAACAAAATGAAAATCTATCTGAACGTTGTATCCTTTCCTGTTGTTCTTCTCTCTGCATCTCAAATTAGCAGATATTCTCCTCTTCAGTGCAAATAAATTGTTTACTGTTAATTCAACCGAATCTTTCACACCAGACTGAATACAGAAAAGCAGATGCTGTGGCCATAAGAGGAGGACCAATGAAACTGTGCACTCGCAGTTTAAATGATTTAAATTGAGAATACTTGCACATCTCCCTGTGATTCAGATAACAGGTACAGGTGTGTGTGAGACTGGTGTGTTGTTGCTTTCAGGGCCCCCTGCAGTTTTGAATGTGTCATTCATCCTTTGATAAAATAGAAAAGTAGCACTTCTTTTTCTGTTTAGCCATTTCACAGCATATAACATCTAAAACATAAATCTTACATCCATCCATCTTCTATACCTGTTAATCCTTTTCAGGATATCAGTGGACTGGAGCAAGGTACATCAGTCAATCACAGGGCAAATGTTGCATTCATGTCATATCAAAGTTACCATAATTACCAGGTTTTTTTTTTTTAGCAATTTACTGGCTTGTAAATGGCTTTCATGTCAACATAATTACATTTGAGATTTTTCTGAAGAGCACATGTACACTTAATAATACAGCCTGCCTGAAAAGGCAAACAGATAAGCCAAAATAAAAAATATAAAGTGCTTTATTTTCAATGCATTTATATCTTTTCGTTCCATGGAGCGAATGCAGAGTGACACATAAAGACAGGCTGAACTTATTCCTGTGCATGTCTTCGGGAAATCAATGTATTGGTGGGAAAATGCAAATATAAACTCCAGACAGGAAGGCCTCTGCCAGCCAGGTCAGGTTGTTCACAGTGTCTGTATTCTTGTTTTTCTGCCTCACTGTCGTCAATGATTTGAGAGCAAAAGCCATGTAGAGCTGAAACAATTATTCAATTAATAAATAAGTCAATTGTATTCTTCTATTTTGAAAATGATGCAAATCATTTGATTTTTTTTCAAGCAAAATTGCCAAATTTCACTGGTTCCAACTTCTCAAATGTTTGTCATACTATATGGTAATCTGAATATCTTTGGGTTTTCACTATTTTATGAAATGTTTTAGATAAATCAATGAACTGATTAATTGAGAAAATAATCTGCAGGTTAATCCATAATAATGGTTAGTTTTAGCCCTAAAGCCATGCAAGCAAGGTACAAAATAATTATATGTATGTGCCCAGGTAGTGTGTGTGTTTGTTTGTTTGTGTTGATAGAGCAGCAGGAGGGAGAGAGAACAGGATGTGTCCTTACAAGTTCTCCACATAATCAAAGAAACTCGGGTCCTCCACAGCCGTGTTTGTCACTCATCCTGTGCCTTTAATGAACAGCTCATTAGACGGAAACCTCATTAGCTGTCTGACGACAGGGAGCAAATGATCCAGAGATGAGGACAGGAATTTGTTGTGTCTCTCACATTGAAGGTAGAAAGGCGGGGGGGAACGTTTAAGAATGCGCCTTCGGTCTCAGCATGCTTGGAGTAAACATACTCATCTTAATAACAGCATCCCTATAAACATAATCCTCCACGGAAAAATGCTCCTAGCCTAAATAAGACCCTGCAAAAAAAGATGTAGTTGCTGGACTAATGTATTTTTAAAGCTGCCCCATTTTCATGTGTGCACGAACCAAGAATATTTTCTTATTTGAATGGATAATAAGTGGACACATAGCAGAAAGTACTGCAGCTTAATAACATGATAACCTCTCTCTCCCCTTCACAGATCTGTGACAAGGAATGGCACTATTATGTGATCAATGTGGAATTTCCTGCAGTGACACTCTTTGTGGATGGTGTGACTTATGAACCCTACCTGGTGACAGATGACTGGCCGATCCACACCTCGAAGATTGATACACAGTTAACTGTGGGTGCCTGCTGGCAAGGTCAGTGTGTGTGTGTGTGTGTGTGTGTATCTAAAAATATACAATAGCTTTAGAGTAATGCAGAAATGTGTGCAAGGCATTAAAGAAGCTGAAATCAGACAGGAATGGAGTGCAACTGCTATTACACTGTGTTGTTGGGATTGTTTACTGCTATACTATAATCTGACAGTTGTTTTATGTGCAGCAGCTTTTTCAGCTTGAGGTTCTGGCTTTTATTTGCTGCACGTAAAATGAAGAAATCAGTTATTTATTGGTCTATTTCCACCAAAAGGGGCCTTATCAGTACAGGAGAAACATTTATCCTTCATGACTTCATTAGGAGGCACAGTTGTTTTTCTGTTACGTAATTGATTTATCACTGCATATTGATGGTTACAACTGCTTTAGTATTGTGAAAGCTTGTTGTGAAAAAAGAAAGGGGTAAAAAGAGAAATTACAAAAACACCAAAACACTTGTGGCTTTACAAGGACACTCTGTGTTCTTCTTTCCTTTAATTTGTCACCCATATGTACTTTATACTGTATATATGCACACCTCAAGGTAATTAATCTACTTTTTTACAGCGGACCTAATGATTTCATTAGGTCAGTACCGATCCGATACGTGTATTTGAAAAAATATATTATTATTTTTTAACAAGCATTGACTACTAAGTCTGTATGATTGCTATCACTCTTGAATCCATGTATCGTTCATCCTTTGGTTTTTCCATTTCAAAACGGAATCTGAAATGCAAAAAAATAGGACTGTTTTTATGTTTTTCTGTAAAAGAAATTCCCTTTCCTGTTTTAAAACCAAAACAGAGTATTATTTGTTTGTGTTGCTCTTCGCCGGGTGTCTGCAGGGGTGCCTTACCCTGACCCCTACTCCTCCACACACACCGAGCACTTCTGCTTCGCTCTCTGGACCTGGACTGGCCCCACTAGCCCCCCACCCTGCCACCACTGAAACCAAGTAGTCCTCACTGCATTTAACGTTTTTCCAAGCACAGAATGTGTGGAAGAGCAACTCGGTGGCAGCCCTCCCTGCGGACACCAGACATGTCTCTGTCTGCGTAGCCCAGAGACACTTCAGCAGCAAAGACCAGCTCCGGGAAGAGTGACCCTGAGCAGCAGCACAATCACACCGACAGCCGAAGGGGTCAGTGTGATTACTTGGAAAACTACAGCTCACAATCTGCTGTATCAGCGCCTCTGTTGGCTGTTTCTTTTACAAACCAACCTTTAAGAAGAACACAGACACAACCAGAGCAACACATAATACAGCCACTAAGCTTGACTCAAACTGTTGTCTCATTGTCTGCAACTCATTGTCCTTCAGGATTAACGTCCCATTTACTAGCCACAACAGTATTTCATTGAAAGTTTTTAATGGAAATTCAAGAAGTTTTGATGTTAAGGATGGATGGATTGATGTGGGTGTGAAAGGAAGAAGGTGAAAGAAGTTGTCATCTCTTAGGTTGTGTTGAAGGTTGGGCAGCGGGAGACTCATTGTGGGGGTTCCGTCTCTGGTGTGTTTTCCACCCGAGCTGTTACAGGCCCCCAGACGGTACCTAGGATGAGATGTGGAAGAGGTATGCACCTGATTGAATAGGAAGGGATGAAAGGAGAGAGGGTGAAGGGATGTGGGTAGGAATGAGCTGAATGGATGAAGGGAAGGGAGGGTTGGTCGAGAGAAATGAGGCCAACAGGACAGGAAGAGGGTGACCAGGTATAAGTAGCTTGTCAGGTGGTTATAAGTGTGTTTGGGGCGTGGCCCTGCTCCCGAAACTAAGTCAATTAAACCTCATTTACTGAACATTCATCAAATTAAGTGCCCCACGTCGTTTTTTCCAAGCTACAGTAGCTGATATACCGTCAAGGCTTTCGTCATTCGGTAGTGTTTCATCTAAACCTGGCGGGAAAAATTACAGACAGCTGCTGTTCGCTGTCAACTGGGGGGTAGACTGGCCAGAGTCAACGCTGGCAGGTACCAGTGGTGTCAGGTCTGGATCCGCTCGTTTATGTGTGCAGGGGCAGCCCACCCTTCCTGCGGACACCTGGAGAAGAGCAGCAAAAACAAATTATCACAAAAACAGAACAAATGTATTTTTCTGTTTGTTGGTTTATTCCACTTGGTTTAACACAGAAAAACATTTTGTTTGTTTGCTTTCCGTTTTTTCCGTTCTTGTCCTAAAACAGAAAAACAAAAAGACAACCCTGTTTTTTGGCTTTTCCAATTCGGTTTTGAAACAGAAGAACCAGTGGATGAATGATTTATGTATGACATATACATAGATTAGTATTTTGATCAGAAAAATAATTACTTGGCACAGAAACAGAACTGAGAACAAATCAGGCAATTCATTTATAGTTAATTAAAGTTAAGTTTCATGAAATAGAATGTTTTTTTTTTTTTTTTTAATATGCAAAGCTGAAATATCTGGAAATGGATGGCAGCATATGGCAAACAGAGAAAGTGCGTCAAGAACAGCAGCTAAAATATTACAGTTGAAGCACAGAGTGAGAAAGCAGCAGTCTTACTGTTAAGATAAATAAAGAGATTAAGATTTATGCCTCGGGGCTGTGAGTTTTACTTCTTTGAAATGGAGAGGAACTAGCCGAGTGGGTATCAAACAAGAAATTCTGCGTGTCAGTTTCAGCGGCAGGGAACGAGAGAGAGTAGTGATCACTCTGGAATGGATAAGAGCTACCCTGCTGCCCTGTTTATGACTTGAATAATTATACAAAAGTGCTTGACAGGAGGGCAAAACGAGACAGTAGTGATACAGCTTGCCTAAATCATGCTCATAACACTTGCAAGCACCATCCAAAGCTTCAATCCTGATGGCATTTTGGTTGCCGTGTAAATTTCTTTTCATCCTGTGCCTGATTGCAATTTTCTTTTTGTCGTCATCATTTTCTTCCTTGCTTCATACAGCCCTCTCTTTCTGCCTCTTTCCATGAATCTCTGATTGTGAGAGAAAGCCCTGAAGGAAGGATTAGCTAGAGTGAATGGAGGACAACTTTGCCAGCTATTACATCCCAATGAAGCCGCTTTAAGCTTCACTAAGCCGCAACTGATAACTTTGCAGGCCATTAGCGAGCAAGATTGCCTTTCAGCCTCTCATTCCTTCATCCCCTTTCCTCTACAATCAACAACATAATGATGAGACATGTGGAATGAAAGACATTCAGACTGTATTTTCACTGCCCTGAAAGCATAAGCGAAGTTGTGTGTTCTCGCCATACAAGGTTAACAAGAGAATGCTTTGGTTGTTGTTGGAGGTTTTTTAAACTGTTTTCTGTAGCAATAAGCTGTTTTTTAGTTTGGCTGTGAAATGTGTGTTTGCCATCTCATTTCATGTGCAGCAGGAAAGTGGGTGTGCAATTTCAAAGCAACCCTAACAGTACAGTATACAAATATTTAACCAACGCAGCACAGTGTAGGCAACAACAGCCTGGGGTAATTTTATGTCTATAATGAAAGGCATCAGTCAACATATACCATCAGTCAATTTTAGGTCATTTGCAGCTGAAGTAGAAGCACAGTGTATTGGGGGAAAAGCAGTCACATTTAATATCCCAGTGCTCTGCTACAAGCATAAACAATATTTGCTTTCAAATTGAAAGCAATCCACAAAACTTTTCTGATTTTGTCTCGTGAACTTAGGAAAAACCCCAACTACCTACTTACTACATTAACTAATAATATTAATTATGGCTCTGTTCCATTAAGGTGCCCCAGTAATGCCATTAAGCTAGCATGTCCAATCGAGCCAAGAATTGGAACACCTAAATGAAATGTTGCATTTATCAATGTTACAGGGAACACTTGTTTAAGAGCCATTTTCTGAAATAACTCAAACCTATACGGATGTACTGACTTAAACTGATGTATTAAAAATAATCATATATCACTCTGGACCTCACACTGTATCTGAATGTTTGTAGCTGAAAGTAAGAAAATAGCAAGGTGAAACTCCCGCTGATCTGAGAATCAAAAGGAACCACAAGGTCTGAACATCCTTTAGCCATCCTTTACAGAGAGACAAAATATCTTATACCAATACATTTATGCAACACGTGACATTTCCTCTTCTCTTCTTCTGTCCTTTCATTCATTTTTCTCTTTTATGAATCTATAAAGACATATATGTATGTCTAGACAGGCAATCAGTATGCAGTCATTGAATCAAAAAGGCATTTCTTTGATAAAAAACCTTTCAACAATGCATTTGTCAGAGAGATAAGGAAAGAGACTAAAAGGACAGAATAAAGAGGAATATTCCTACATCTAGAGAGAAAGGGAGGTGATGGACGCTGATTGGGATAATTCCTTACTCTGTTCCTACTTACATAAACACAGTGTTTACCCTGTCTGTTCCCGAATGCATGGGCAAGTATAAAGAATAAGTATAATAAAACCTATGATAAAGATGATATTCTTAGTTCCTGCAGTTTGTGGGTGTGACACAGCATACAGTATCCGATGGACATAGAGGGAGTGAAAAGACAACACAAGTTGAATTGTTTTAAATAAAAACAAAGATCTTTCTAATCAATTTCAGTTATTTTATGTTTGCAAGTTTGTTAATATAGAAATAGCCTCCGCAAAAATTGAAGTACAGAGTTGGAGTGTCTGACTGTGCCTGTGCGAGTTTCTTTGCCACTGTAGTTTTTCCTACAGACTTCCTCAGCCTGCTCTTATTCCCAGGTTGTCAAATACAGACACTAGCAGTGTTCAGTTAGTTGCAGTCTGCAGCCTCACCCCTAGATAAGTAATTTCTACTGGTTTGTGGTTTGTTGTAGTGTTGTTTATGCTGTTGGTCCTAATGGTTCTTGGTTCACATTTTAAATTTGCACCTTTGTTTATCAGCATCATCAGCGTCCACCCTTTTCACCTCAGACCTCCAGGAGATAAACATATGACAAAGGGGACTGGTGCTTTGATTAAAAGGAGAAGATCAAATCTGTATCAAAAACAAAACTTAAGTTTTTTTATAACAGTATAAGTCTCCTGTTGCCTGGCATCCTGAAGGCAGTTGTTTGGTGTCTCTGTGACAGGAACTTCTCTCACGGCTCTGCATGTATACACTCCTGTGTGATTCACATTGACAGAGCTGAGAGAGTAGATGCCTCCAGCCCCATGCTGGCTGGCTGGTAGCTGCTGTTCAGAATAATATCTGCTGCTGCTGTCTACCGTTCCCCTGAGCCTCGCTGTACAGAACAGTTAAGTACAGGGAGAACATCCAGTCTGCGTTACAGTGAGTGGATTAGTAACCTCAAACAATTATTTAGTCAACATTACGGCATGTTGAAGAGCTGACGGGAGGGACTTTGATTTTGCCGCAAAAGGTTGAAATATGGTTAATTCAGTATAAACAACGATGCTGATTTAAAATATGTTGGACAAAGAACCTGGAATAAACTTGAACCTGCTTATTAGTGATGAATGGGAAATATTACAAGTGAATCAAAACTACAATATAGGGATTATTTCCTACCTACTTTTAAAATGTTTTGTGGGAGATTTTGCTTCACAACTTATTGTTATTATTACGATGATGATAATGATTGTTATTATTGTTGTTGTTGTTATTTGTATTATTATTATAGTCTAAGCTAAATTATTTCAAGTCTCCTTTAAATATGTTATCAATTTAATAACAAACACTGTTCTGGTTTTTAATAATACAGTTCTTAATGTAAAAGAGAGATATTTGTCCATTTTATTTTATGTTTTTGCTTCATTTGATTATTATGAATCAATACCAATAATCTTGTTAAGAGGTCAAATATTTAAGTCAACAGAAATGCATCTTAGATCTGCCTAAAGTAAATGTCTAAATGTGTAATTTTGAAAACATGGCTACTTTCCAGGAGCTCATATTCTGCCTCTGTGGTCATTTGTATTTGCCATTGACTGCTACAGTATATAGTATAAATATATAAATATAGGCTGAGACACATTCAATTCTGGGGTTATTTGCATTACAAAGAGACCTAACCTGAATGTCACCCGTAGCTAGAGAATGTATGAGCCATAGCTGAGATAAAAGACACCCTGGAAGTAATTTGTGTCAAGAAGACTGGACCTATATGATCTGGTGGAAATGACACACTTCATCGGAGGTGGTGACATTGTACCACAGGGCAGAGCACAGGAAAACCTGGTGCTATGTATAAAAAAAGTACACTCTTAAGAAGATGTCAGGGCTTGACTGAATTTGTGATGGAGCTGACCCCACAGACTGCAGTGCTGCGATACCACAGACTGTGCCAATGTTTTGGCTTGCACTAGAGCTTCCATTTATTTTGCATGAAAGGATGTATTTCCCACTCCCTCCAGTCTCTGTGGCAGCTACAGAACATTTTAGGTCAAACACACATTACATCTGCCAAACTCATACATCAAATTCAATGGATAAACCTGACAGGAAGTGTCAAAATATATGCAGTTCTGCCAGGTGTTACAAGTATATCATGTAATATTTGTTTGAGTATTGCAGACCAAACTTATATTTGTGTGCAGTGCCACCTCGGGTAGCATTTTGTCTTTAATCAACAATATTACACAGTTGTTTCCACCTGCTCCCACAACAATTTCAAAATACAGAGATGCAATTATGAGCATCTCCTGCATGGTAACAGTTTTTTAGTTATAAGTTACATGTATTTATTTGTTCATTGTCATGTATTATACATTATTTTGCCATCTGTACCAAGCAGTTTGAATGTTCCCATCCTAAAATTTGAAAAATGTGGAAAAAACTGTAAAAACACAATGTCAGTGTGAATGTGATTCAATTACATTTATTTTCTCTCTAAAACGGTGTCAGAGTTGTTTCACACACTTCTCTTTTTTTTTTTTACCTCTATTGTGAACTTCAGGATAAATAACTTACTAAATTCTTCATAGCTTGCTCTCCACTGGGTCTTGTAAGCTTTTTCAGAAGCAGATTCACAGATGTTATTTTCAGCAAACTATGTGTGCTTTTCCCTTTGGAAACATACATAATGCATGTTGTTGTCTCTTTAACTCTGCAAAGGCTCAGTAAAAACAGGTTTGAACCCAAAAGCACGATTCTCAAACCAGTCCGGTAAAATAAAAAGTTCAAGTTTACTTGAGGTCGAAAAACAAGCAGAAGTCAAAATCAGAAAGGCAGGGCAGATGAGGCAAACGTATCCAATAGGAGATAAGGCTACAGAGCAGGGGTCCAAAAAGCAGGCAGGGGGTTTTAACAAGCAAAGAAAATTGCTGGAACACAAAAAGAGAAACACAAAAGAAGACCTGACGGGGACTAAATGGTGCTGAGTTGAAGTGCAGGTGGGCACGGGACGTCGGGTGATGGGGAATGGCAGGCACACTGGGGTCACTGCAGGGTAGGTGAGAGTGGTGGGATCTGAAACGACAGGAGAGTTAGTACAAGGCAGGGGGGAAAGCAGACAAAAAATGTGAGACTGGGAACTGGCTGACATCGTGACAATGGTCCTGTTTTGACTAATTTCTAACTTCTTCTCTCCTCTTTTCCACATCTGCCCTTAACCGTCCCATATCTCACTTCTCCACTTTTCCTGCCTATGGTTCTCTTGTCTCCTCTCCCATAAGGTGGTGAGGTCGCAACCCCCAGGTTCACCCAGTATTTCCATGGCAGCCTTTCAGGTCTGACAATCCGACCTGGCCGCATTGAAACACAGAAGGTTATCTCCTGTTTGCAGGCCTGCAAAGAAGGCCTTGATATTAACTCCCTTGAAAGCCTCGCTAAGGACATCAAGGTGCGTGGGAAAAAAATGGAGGCAGTGTTTTCAATACACAACACACACACACAAACATACACAGACCCCACACTTTCCGCCTTTGGTTGGTAGTACAGCAACTGTTTACCACTTTAACAGTACTAGACACTGTTCAGGATTCATGCGTCACTTTTGTCTAAAAGTATAATTTGAAAATAAAAAATAAATAAATAATAAATAAAAAAAGATGCTATTCCATATCACACTTTGATATTAAAGATGGTTCAGTAAAACTGTTACAACATACACACAGTTGTTTGAATCGGGATCTCTGGGAGTTTCTCTGAGGACAAATAATGTTTGTTTGTGTATCCAGTTCCATTTTAACCCCGCCCAGTCTGTTCTGGTGGTGGAAGGAGAGGATGTGGACAGCATCAACACGGCCATGACCAAGGTTTCCTACATTAACTCTCGCCAGTTCCCCACGCCAGGTCTCCGGCGGCTACACATCACCACCACAGTACAGTAAGTGCACATATGCTTGGATGTATTTTTACTTCACGCTTTGACTGTTTTAACATCTAGCTTTACATTCACCTAGAGTACATCTCAAATGTTTCTCTTTGCTGTTTACCACCCTCACATATTGGCAGTGATCACAAAGATCACATTTTGCAGATATTCTGTTTGAGGGAACTACCGGTTTGTGGAATAAAGTGTGAAGTCTATAACTATTTGTAGAGCACTAATGTGAAATGATGTGTTAAACATAAAACAAGTTGGTCAACTTGAATTCAATAGATGGTCACATAAGCCACAAACAGCCAGAGGAGTGGTGGTTAAAGCATTAAAGGAATGCTCTGTTGTGTCTGTCTTTGTCTTTAAGCCACAGAACTCCCAGTGAGATGGCAAAGGATGGATCATTAGTGTGAAAACTATTAAACCACTAAATAGACCAGCTGGCCATTAAGGACATTAAGCCTTCTGGTGAATGGAAAGACCATCTTGCTAGCGCCTATCTTTCCCTGCTTTTTTCTGTCTTTTCTGTTTCTGGAGTGTCTTTCTGTGTATCCCTCTCAGGATGTAATTTGATTTGAATTGACTTTGTCCACTTTGCCCAATAGCCACAGAGCCCACAGACGGGGAATGTCAGTCAATCTGTTTGTCCAACAATTGTCCAAATACCTTGACTGCCAGCCACATTATTAAGAAATCAAATTGGTCCACAACAACTGTCTGGATTTCCTTGATAGTTGCTATGGATATTCAATTGATACTAATCTTTTTGATGACACCCCTGACATTTTCTTTGATGCTTGCTTTCCATCAGGCCAAAATCTACATTTACAGACAGAAATATGTAGTATTTAGATTTATTTTACTTAATTGATTAATTAATTAATTAATTTTATATTTCAGAGGTTTATCTGTGTACCACAAGAGGCAGCTTGCGTAGCACCGGTGTTACAGTACCATAGTCTGAGAACCAGTGTACTTGCTAATACTGTAAATAAATCCCCGATTCCTGGATTTCCTCTACAGGTTTCATAGCTGACCGGGACCTTCTCAAAGCACTGAACTGCATCACATTGAACGTTACATACTTGACTGCATCTGTGTGTTTTCTCCTGCTTCTCGTCAGGCAACTCGTGTGCCTGTGTGTTTGAGTTTGTGTGTTTAGTTGTATGCCGCATGTGTGTAAGTGAGTGTTTGTCCCGCGTCTCGCAGCATATACTTTATGTGTCTGCTCCCCACCCATCTAGCGTCTGTTCATTTGTTGAGCAGCAAACGCAGGCCGGTCAAATCAGCTTAGAAGTGCTGGTCGATAAAGTGAAGCAAGCTCGAGGAGCAGCAATAAAGGCCGTCTAACTCTGAACAACACTTCACAGCTCCCCTCGAGATAAAGACAGATAGATATACGCCTTTACACTCAGCAGATATGTTAAGTGTGTGACTGCAACAAAGACAATAATATGTAGTCCCATTACACATTGTTGATATTTTTTCAATTTCTTTTTAAGGGTTGTATGTCCTGTCTCTGTACAAAAGTCCTGTCCAGGAGCAGGAGCAGTTCAGTGATAATTGCCACTTCAGTATTCTCGGGGGCAATGGATTTAGAATTTCAAACGAACAAGGTTAAGATAACATCCTTCTTTGTCTATTATGCTGATTTTAAAGTGAATTATTTTTCATTTTGAAGTTTTCTTTTCATTCTTATGGATAAAAGCAGAAGTCAGGGCTTATTGCATTCACAGGCTTCACTGTTTTGCAACATTTAATTTTTTTAACTTAACAGCATAACTTGGCTGTCTGTGGTGGTCAATATTAGTCTCCAGTGGTAGGAATGCTTCAGGTTTAATTGGACCATTCTGACTATAGTTACGTAAAGTAAAGTTAAAGATTCCCTCAGACATGTATTAAGACATATACAGCAACAATGATAACAATGTAAAAAAAAATATCCCCATTGCTTAATGCATTATTCAGAATGAATGGATGTGAAAACCAAATAATTGTGAATAAAACAAGACAATCAGTTGTGGCTCTAAATATGGTTGTAGCTCAAGAGGTAGATATGGGTCATCTACTAATCAGAAGGTTGGCAGTTCAATCCCCGGCTCCTGTTGTGTGTGTGAACAAGTGCACAGCACTTTGAGTGGTTGAAACACTAGAAAGGTGCTATATAAGTGCAGGCCATTTACCATTATATTTATACATAATTTCTCATTTGCAACTGACTTTCTGATCATGACATGGAGCGTAAAAGGAAAACTGGTAAGACTGAAATACCCATGAATGTTTCCAAGCATTTAGTAAGTTCTGGCATTCAACAAAAAAAAAAAAAATTCAAAAGTGGTAATCGGTCATCATCCCTAACTGGAAAATGAACAAACAATGCACCTCACCTCATGCAAGTCACTGAAAATGTATTTTCTCTATCAGAGAAGAGTGACTGGGTCCTACATGAGCATGCTATTTTCTGCCAGTTAAAAGTTAAAATCCATTTTATTATATTAAATTTCATATATGTATATTTGTGTTTTTATTCTTTCTCTTCTTACAGGTTTGAAGTGGGCACCAACTAGGACTGAGTAACATTTGAATCAAAATCTGGTTGTTTTCTCATGTTGCCAGACCACTGTCAATCCCAGTACTGATAAAGCTGTTTAATTTTGTAGTTCTACACTCCCTAACAAAAAATAGCTAGTGTTTTTTTTAGACTTTAACTTTGAATGTTGCTTATGTTGTTATGAATATTTAATCATAAATAAAGCGTTCAGGGGATTCAACACATATTTTCTTTCCATCCACGTTCTCACTAACATGAAGAGTATTTTATGATCATTCTTTGTGACAACTACATGGAAACGCCAACAGTCACAAATACAGTTAAATCAAGACAAATCAGCAGTGAAGCATTAACACTGGTGCTGTCCCATCCTGTAACTTCTCCCTCCTCTCTTCTTCTGTGTGTGCGTGTGTCAGGTGTTTCGGGGAGGACACGTGTCTTTCCATCCCAGACATCAAGGCGGTAGTGATGGTCCTGCCGCCTAGTGAACCGAGAATCACCATTACAGGATCTAATCGACTCGTCAGGCCTGCTGGTGACCTGCGGGGGCCGCTGGGTGTGGCACCCTTCAAAGAGCTTCACATCACCAGCACAGTGATGAAGGGAGACAGCTTCGGTGGATGTGAGTGGAGAGGCTGCCTGTGTTGTTAGGATGCTCTCACGTCATGAGACTACCTTGTGGTGATGTTTCAGTCGGTGTCACAAAAAATGTGTTCTTTTAGATTTTTAGGTTTTTTTTACTAACTTATTTGCCTATATGTGCACTGGATATTTAGTATTTAGCATTTTAAATCTCACAAATTCTTCCATCATCTGGTGTCCATGTATACAGCCCGCAGACCAGGTGTGATGGAGGTGATGCATAACCTGGACTACTGTGATGTGCTGGTAATTGGGGAAGAACTGAATCCTGAGAGAGAGAGTCTGGAGATTCATCACAGTGCTTTGTTGGGAAAACATCTCGATGCCACCAACTCCACCTCTGGAATATCAATATATGGTAGGTTGGACTAACCCTCTGGTAAGAACAGCGATGTGTACATACATACATCATGAAAAGCACCACCTTTCTACCTTAAAATGCTAAAGAAAATTTCTAAAAATGTCTTGCGCTTTATACAGCTGTAAGATGAACATTCACTCTCTATACAGTAAGACAGCTGTAAAGGTCTCTGAAATAGACTCCTGTCGTGACATATTACAAACTGACAGTGCACAGTGCTGCGTGATATATTTTAGACTTTGGTATAACATGTGTTTGCTGTGTGTTACAAGGCGTGGACTCCATGGCCCACTATGAGCAGGCACTGAGACAGGTGCACTACAGGAACTGGCGACCTGCCACCCTGAGTGAGAGAAGATTCAGACTCACTTGCTCTGAACTCAACGGACGTTACACCAGCAATGAGTTTAATTTAGAGGTCAGTTTGATGTCTTTAGATCGCCGTGTTTCAACTCCTTTTCACTCTCTTCTCCTCACATCCTGCACTGTTTATCTAGTCCATGTCATCTGTGCTCTTTTTTTCCATCTGCTTTTATCTTTTAAACTTGTTATCAATATTGTTCAATCTCTGGAAAAGGAAATGAGCGGTTGCTCTGTACACTCAACCATAGATCAAAAATGTCTTGGGTGCTCTCGGAAAATGGGGGAAATAAACAAGATAAACTGAAAGGCAATCCAGGCACTCCAAAATATGAGAAAAAAAATAACAACAAAGGGAAGAAGGAAATATTAAAAGCCTTTATTGTAGTGACTAAATCATTATGTTTCAACCCCTGTACATCTTCATCGGGGCTTTAAAACGCTTTACAAAGATTGCCTTCCAGTTTATATTGATCAGTCTTACCCATGCTCCAATGTCTTGAATTGTCTTTTTATTTTCTCATTTTTCTTTATTTTTATGGTTGCACAAATTATCATCCACCATCTTTTTCCTGAGGATAATGATGTTGGTCCTGCCTCTGTAGGTCAGTGTTCTTCACCACTCAGCACCTGTAGAACACGTCAATCACATGGCTGCCCAGCCTCAGTACATGAGACCCGTCCATCACCCACTCATGATACACACTCTCAACTCACACATGTCAGGTAAGCCACAAATGTCATTAAAATGTATTCTGATGTAAAGATGGGGCAGAACAATGTTTTAACTGGTTGGTCATGGAGCTGTTTAATATAAACAGTTTAGACAAGATGTAAAGAAAGGAATTTTTATTTAAGGCTAAGATTGTAGATTAAACATCACACACAGAAAGGAGACAGGGTATCATAAAGGCATTTAGCTTAAAGCCAGTGTATGTGTAAATAGACATGGGTCCCCTTTACTAGCCTGGTAGGGCTGCACCTTTTGGACAAATAAACACAGGTTTCAATTAGATTGCTTCTTTAAATGTATGAAACCTCCTAAAGCCCATCGTCTTGTCTGCTTGAGTGAATTCTAAGCTGCTTAGATCGCCTACACAAATATAAATGTAAACTTTTATCAATATGGTACACATTAGTTCATCAGCTAGATTCCCAACAATTCAATTGTTTAGTTCCTATTACGGAAACAATGAGGACCAAAGTATTACATGATCAAATTAATGATTAGTTATTGATATGTTATTTAATAGCTTAATTTTTATACAAGTAATAATTATACTGGATTAAAGCTGGAGAGGGTAACTTTGCTTACCTAAGTAAGCTTTCTAGCCCTCCTAATTACGGTGGCCGACAAGGGCAAACGCGCCGCAAACGGTAAAATGCTGCAAACACTGGAATGATGCAAATCCAAAAACACATAAAACAAATGCAACAGAAAAACACAGCAACAGAAAAACGCCGCAATCACAGAAACGAATCAGAAGCAAAAACTTACAAACCCACAAAACAAATGCAAACGAGAAATGCTGCAAATACTGAAAACACACAAAACAACAAAACAACTCCAAGAGAGAAACGCTGCAAATTCACTCGACAAAACGGAAGTACCCCAGGCCACTAGGGGGACACGACCTGAGGGATGGACCAGTCCTGTGGGACCAGACCCGAAAGACATGAAAAAGAAGAAGAAAGTTGGCTAAGTTTTGGAGAGGACAGTAAAAAGGTACGTTTTCCTTTATGTCTTTTTTAAACACTTGGCCGTAATCTTTAATAATATCATAATAATATTAAATTGTATTAAATAATATTATTATAATATTATAAAAGATTACGAGTGAATTTGCAGCGTTTCTCTCTTGGAGCGTTTTTCTGTTGCTGCGTTTTTCTGTTGCATTTGTTTTATGTGTTTGTGTGTTTTGGGATTTGCATCATTCCAGTGTTTGCAGCGTTTTGCCCTTTGCAGCGCGTTTGCCCTTGTCGGCCACCGTACCTAATGGCTTTTGCAAGAATCCACCAGGCCTGGACAAAAACAACCAACCAGAGCCTGCAACTTTAAATAAAACAACAATATAATATTATATAATGCAATATTTTGGCTCTCTACTTCTCCTAAAGGACCAGCACCTCCAGCAGCCACAGTAGTTATTGTGGTTTGTATCGCTGCCCTGGTGGTGATTGTGGTCATCGGCGTGTACAGGATCCATGCAACACATCAGGACGGGTTCAGAGAAGATGAGGATGGAGGCAAAGACCCTGAAGAAGAATGGGACAACTCTGCACTCACCATTACTGTTAACCCCATGGAGGTTGGATGGCACTTTCATTTAAATTCGGGGTTGTTTTGTTCCCTCAGTATCAAGACTAGAGGGGCTGACTGGAGGATAGACGATTATTTATCTTACACATAGTTCAACTGCATTTGTTGCCCTGATTTGGGATCTGTGGTTCACTAATTCATGTTTTGTTTTCTAGAACGTAAAAGGAGCTCAGGCGCTTGATGAAGAGGTAAAAGAAGAAGAACGTGAGGAGGAGGAGGAGGAAGAAGAAGAAGAAGATGAGGAACAGGTGGGAGGAATGACAAGTGCTGAGTCAGACAACAGTGATGAAGACGAAGAGGAGGAAGAAGAAGACGAAAGAGAAGAGATGAAAGAGAGGAAGCAGAAGGGAAAACTAGAGTGGGACAGTTCCTCCATAACATACTGACGACACACATTAACATATACTGGCACATGCAAACACATGTTCATCTCTATCTCTCTATCAACCACACACACACACACACACACACACACACACACACACACACAGAAAGAAAATCTCTGATAAAATTATTTACAATCTGTTGCTGGAAAAAATACTTTGAATCTTCCCATGTTGTCATCTTTAATGAAACATCTCCCTCTGCTGGACAAAGTCAGAACTACAGAGTCAGCTGCAGTCCCACAGTGCTGTACAACATTATCTGTATGTACATTATTATTCACATCACAGCCAATGAAGCAAAATATATGATGAATATCAAACAAGCACAGTCTTCTCATTATGTGTGCACAATAAGCTGAAGTTTCGCTGATAAAACTGTATCCAAACTCAAACAAGAGCAGCAAACATATGTCAGATCTGAAATATAGTGACACAAATTCCCTCAATTTCTTACATTAGCAAAGATAATTTAAGACATTTAACATTTGCGATAACATACGTCCTCAGATTACATTTGTATTGCTCATTTTTCAAACTGGTTGTCTGCAGTATGATGGGTTATTAACAGATTTAGCATCACAATGTACCCATATACATATCCATTAATGTATCCATAAACTTTCAATATAGTTCCTTTGACCTATATAGTAATAACATAGCTGTGCTGTCACTAAGTGTATATCCTCTGTTCTCATCTCTAACTCAAACCAGACCCTGTAAAGCCTGTGTGATGAGTGCATCACAGTGCTGTGGTTCTGTAGCCGGGGAAAACCTGATCCTGGATATGTTATCTCTTACCATAAACATTACATATGTGTCCTGATTCATATTCAGAGCAGAACTATTAACTGTTTAATGTCTTTCTCAAGAGTATTTTAAAATGATCACTGTTCCATGAGCCAATGAGCTAATCGGAAAAGCTGATTGTGGTTCAAATACGGTAAAATACTCGGTTTTTTTTTTTCAAAAAAAGCCTGTTTGTTTGCATCTGTCTGTGTACCAAATCTACCCATACTGTGGCCTATTGTAGCCTTTGCTGTTTAGGGTTAGTCAGTTAATCAGTTATCTTTCTTTTTACAGCAGATGAAATGATACAGAGATGTTCCTGTATGCTACTTATATATCTTTCCTCTGTGTTTAATTCCATAGTAAAGAGAGCCCTCTATGCAATTATGGGCCCAGTATCAGAGACCAGTACAAACCGGGGTACTCCAGCGATTTGGTATTGCACATTCATAATGTTTAGAAACAGATTTTAAAAAGGGTCAAAATTGCAACAGAGTCAGAGATATTCTGACTATAGTGCCTAGTAAAGGTTAATCTCCGAAACACTGGATTCTACACTTCCCACAATGCAACTCAGTAGCATTTCTTTTTAGACCTGCCTGGCAAATGCCCAGGGGCTGTTTTCACAAATGTATCGTTTGCATAAAGCTAGTTCTTGATTATTAATTTGCTATGAGTTCTGGCTCAGCTCCGTTCACTCCAGCAGGAAATGCTTGCGTTCAACAGATACAATGACATTTTACTGGGAAGATTCAACGAAGAGTCTAAAGGGAACTTCCAGTTGCATAAAATCTCCACACAGTGCAGACCTGTAGCTGAGACGCTGTGGTTTCTTATTGTGGCAGGGTTCAGTATTTCTGCTAACTTGTCAATCAGACTCAGGATAGTTTCACTGGGCAAACAGAAACAACTGACGATTTCCTCACTGCTGTAGCTATATTTCCAACAGGTTACTGCGCTCTCTAAAAACTTTTTCTTCTCATTACTCGCTCCACAATGTTGTCAGCAAACCAATAATTACGAGCCGTCACTTGGTGCCACTGATTGTTACCATGGAAACGTGCCTCTTGGTTCGGAGTTAGCCTGGGGATTACTGACTTTTTAGGGTAAAATAAGTCTTTATTCTTTTGAAACTGTCTTTGTCGCATTAGACTAATCTGAGAGCAGAGTTGAGACTGGCCTAACACTACAGACTAGTCTAAAATATCTGAGAAACTGTAAGGCAGGTTTTCTGTTGAAGGGCCGCTGTGTAACATTTTAGAGGATCCATTGGCAGAAATAGTCATAGGTATATTTTCATTAGTGTATAATCACCTGAATATAGGAGTCATTGTGTCTTTGTTACCTTAGATTGAGCCGTTTATGTCTACAGATGCCGTTGGTCGCCTACCGTGGAGTCCACCGCATTGAATCACCATGTTTCTACAGTAGCCCAGAACGGACAAACCAAACACTAGCTTTAGATAGGGCCTAGAGAGCCTCAGTGAGTTTTTCTTGCAGATTACACCATCAGGGTAATTTTCTTAGATGTGACAAAGCTCCTCCAGAACCACAGATGACATTATAAATATATATATATATTATATATAATTAAAACCGTTGACTGACTCATGCTCCTTTTGACGAGTAAGCGTTAAATTGGTGGAGTGCCCCTTTAAAGTCAGGCGAAGACCCACAGAGCTAAATTCTGGAGAAAAGAAGCAGAGTGATTGTTTATTTTACTGGTGTAATCAAGTCGGCCCAACTTCACTACAAGTACAAGAAGAAGTGAAAACTACATTGATATTAATTCCATTTTGTACCTTCGTTATTGCAGATTAAGTAAACTAACAAAATGTAAGTCCATGAGTTTGTCTACACTCAAACTATCTAAAAGTAAATCCATTCCTGTTTCTACTCAGAGAAATCACCTCTCACATACTGTTCATATCCAGACAGTATCAGTGATTATTACTCCCTCTGAGCTCTTGAACTGATACGTCTCCTGTTCACCTTCCCCTCCCTCTGTTGGCCTTTAAGCACCTGTGATTGTGATGTCATCATTGTGAAACAACTGCCTTGTTTCCCTCGTCTCCCTTTGTCATATTGTGCTTCTGAAAGATTAAAGAGAAAAAGATTCTTTTACATATAAAAACAAACCCTGTAAAAATGTTCAAGACAGTTATTTTATATATCCGTTTCTTTTTCTTTTTGTAAACAAAATGGTTGGGATTTCTCTCTCTTTAGTGGTCATCCCACTGCTTTCTGTATATTGACCAATAAAGACTTGTTTTAGACTCTACACAGCCCTGCTTGTTGTTTGTGCACTAAACATCTGATGTGTGTGTGTGTGTGTGTGTGCAAACTGAGAGACTTACATAACTAATAAGCCGTCATTGTAGATGTTCAGCTGCCTGAATTCGTCACATGTTGGAGGAAGCTGAGAGAGAGAGAGAGAGAGAGAGAGAGAGAGAGAGAGAGAGAGGTTTCTACTACAGTATGTGAGGATTAGGAATGTATATTCAAAGACACGTTATATGCCACAGCAACTGTTTCAGCACAAAGAAAGGAAAAGCGTACGTTTTAAATACACAGTAAGAACATAATCCACACAAGACTGAAGTGTAAAAACAATTAGTGCTTTCATGAGGGGGGTTATGTGCTGCATTACTTCTTGGCAAGGTCTGGAGTTGTGCCATTGTGTGAGGTTGCTAGGCAACCAGCGGAGACTCCAGGAAGAAGTTGAAGGTCACATAACCCTCCATAAAAGAATACATTGTAGTTTTTACACTTTACAGTATTGCTTTCAAATTAGACTAATAAATGACCTATAGAGTTGTAAGATTCCAGGTTTTCGTACCTTTGGACGGAGCTCTGTTTCCAGTTTTTGTGCTAAGCCAAGCGCACCATCTGCTGGCTGTAGCCTCATAGTTATTATGGATCTTCTCATGTGACTGTCAGCAAGAAAGCAAATAAGCATGTTTCCCAGAACTATTCCTTAAAACGTCACAAAAAGATTGTGAATTATTGTGTAAGAATATTGATTCTCATAAAGTCTAGTTAATATTTTTGACTGAAAAACACAGTATAAGAAAAAGTCAAAGTTCAGCTGCAAGTGAAAGACTGAATCAAAATTAGAAAAATTCACACACCAGCATTTATGTGTCTGGTTATAACTTTCATTCTGGTAAAGTTCCAGACAAAACATACTTTATTTACTTGTTTACTTAAGTCTTAAGGCAAAAATTATAAACACAACAATAAATGTTGAAGATAACAGAGACAGACCCACAATGTATACCAACTGAAAAATATGTTAATAAAAGTATTGTTGTAGAAAACATTTAATGTGGGGGTAAGGATACAGTGCAAACAACTGCTAATCCACTGTGGGTATTTGTTTGTGTGATGTGGCTGCTGCTGTGAGATAAACAACGGAAGTGTCGAGGTCTGATACAAGCAAAATAAATAATATGACCTATAGCCTATAATAATATAACTGTTGTTTGGGGGAGGATGAGAGCTTTAACAGGAGTAAAGGACAACAGAAATTATTGGATAACAAGCCTTTTTAATCATCATCAGTGAAGATTGGTCTTCAGTGGCTTGAATGAAATAAGAAATCCAGTTGATAATGGGAAATATGTATATATTGGTTTCTAATTTTTATCTTGGATGATATTATATCCATTTAATCTGTGTGTTCAGTGTAGAGAAAGCAGATCCAACAGCACAGAAGAGTATTAATGACCCCTGCTGGTGAAAGGATTAACAGTTAATAGTAGATTGAAACTAAATTTAATAAGTTTAGACAAAAATTGTAAATATTCAATTGAAGGTGAATGAAAGCATCTACTGCAGCATTTATTCTTTGTCTATCAAATCTGGTTGCAAGTTTAGTTTGTGAAAGATATTCTGCAATGTGCCGGAAACTAAAGAATTTGCGAGTGCAAATGGTGGATCTTAAAAACATTTAAACTGAGTTGTCTGCTTTAATTTGTAAAAAGCAGCTGAGGAAATAATAGCTGGTCTTCATTTGAGTTCATCTGTTAAACGTCCAGAGCTTGTGTAGATGAAGTGTTGCAGCTCTGCTTGGGTTCCCTGCTCACAACAGTGCTGACTACACACTTAATCACTCAGCAGATTCCTGAGGATGGAAAAATACAATCGGTTAATTAGTAGCTTAATGTGCCCCTTTAACTGATGAGCACCACATGTTCAATAACACCCTAATGGACCCGTGCTACAGAAAACTACAGTGCCTCAGCCTGGGAACAATGTGATGAACTGCTATTGAGTTTATTCAGCTTTTTAGTTTGTAATAAGCTTCAAAGTATACAGAGTGCTGCTTTTCTTGGGGTTTTCTTTTACAATCTCTTGATTGGATCTTGTTTTCTTCTTCTTCATTGTCTTCTTTGTTGTTGCCTTCCATGACAACGGTCTATTTGCTTTCTCACAGACTACACAACACAAACCATGATCTTTTTTACACAACACCACCAAGTAGTTTTTGTGCCTAAACCTAACCAAACTAGGACGCTGTCGAAGGGCATTGTCTGCCGACTGTCTTCCGTAGATTGGCCATAATGTTTTTTTCTTCTTCCTCTTCTTCTTCTTCCTCTTCTTCTTTCTTTTCTTCTTATTCTTCCTTTTATACTGGAGGGGAGTGGCAGAGCTCATTCATGAATCTGTTCCTTTTCAAGTGAAAGACGTCTGTACTGATCCAGGTGGTACACAGTAATACAAGGTGCCCTATTTGGTTAACAACTTAACTTAATCAACATTTATCATGATAGGGGGAGATTTTAATTGCACCCTAAATCTTTTTATACACCAGTAAAATACTCAAACCTGGGCGTCGAGACCTCCATTAGGGGTCGCCAAAGCTTCACGGGGGTAGGCAGTAGTTTTGGTTTTAGGGTATGCTAGAAAGCTTAAAAAATATACACAGTAGGCCAATATCTCAGCATTTGATGAAGACAAGTAAATATAAAGTAAATTGTCTAACAGAACAATGGCCAAGGTCAGGGACAATAAAACACAGCTATTAACACACATATAAAGTATGATTGTTAAAAATGATAAAGATACATAATACGGATAGAGAATTGTATAAAACATTCCCTAAATAGGGATATTCTCAAAATTCATCCAAATCACAGGGATAATGTGTGTGGGGAGAAACATTCACTTCTTTCGTCCGACTCCTACAAAATTTTTAGTAAGGTTTGGGAAATTCAACGAGAGGAAATGAAATCGGCTACTTTACACCGAAACATCAATCTGAAATGGGGCTGACAACCAGAAACACCTGGTAGGGTTTTGAGTTTGTGCCACAATCTTGCGGTTTAGGCACTGGAGTAGTTGTCCTGTATCTCTACTGCAATGATAGGATTTATTATCTGCCCACATTCACTCACCAAGATATGTAAGTTTTGCTAACAGCCTGCTGATTTCATCTGTTGTGTCTGTGTTTGTTTGCCGGTTGTAACGATACCAGTGGTGGAAAGTAACTAAGTACATTTACTCAAGTATTGTACTTAAGTACACATTTAAGGTACTTTTGAGTTTTTTGCCTGTTATGCGACTTTATACTTCTATTCCACACATCTCAGAGGGTAATATTGTACTTTTTACTTCACTGCATTTAATTACTTCACTGTAGTTACTAGTTAATTTTCAGATTACATTTTTTATACACTTTATGTCCAGTAAAAATCTCCAGATTTAATTTTAAGTTGAATGGTTCATTTGCGGGTTGGGAATATTATCTTGTTCTTAAACTAAACAATCTACTAAAACCCTACTTGGATCAGCTGGAAAAAGCTGATAAAGGGCTGTTTTTATGTAAAGCTAACCTTTTAGAGCTCTATTGGTTCTCACAGGACAGCAACACTACAAACATATGATCTTATGGAACATGATGCATTGATGTAGATTAAACTACACAACAATATAAAGTAATTAAAACTCAAGCAACATCTACAGCAGTCAAATTCAACATAAACATTAATGAATTACTAATATTAATACATTCATTAATATTACACTGAAAGGGACCATTTTTGTCCATTTTTACTTTTTATACTTTATATATAGTAAATACTTTCTGCAGGGCTTGCACTTGTCGTGGAGTATTATGTTCAGTGTATTGTTATTTTCACTTAAGTAAAGGATCTGAATACCTTTTAAAGCTCTGAAGTGGAGCAGAGGCTGCTGTGGATTGTCATGTGCTGAGAGGCAGTTACTCTTCCACTGTTGCTGTCCGCCTTGCTGCGTTTGTAAATCAAGTTTTTGTTATTGAGCTCCTTTGGGTTGTTATCCAGCATGTGCATTATGATGCTTTCATGTTGATTTTCTTGTTGAGCATCATGCCTCATGAGCTGTTTTGTGCATGTATCCCCTCCCAAAGCGTTGCTGTCGTTTGAGATTTTGGCAATGTCAGGGGTCCAGATGGTAGTTGTACATGTTTACTGAGTTGGAAACATTGCAAACAGCCCATTGGTGTAATTATTTTACTGTGATACTGACTTTATGGGGAACTCATTATGGCTTTTATCACACATGCTTTGTTTTTGTTTTTTTCCACATAACAGTTAAGTAACAGAAAATATTTGATCTCTGTGGCTTTTTTCATGTCCACTTACTATACTTTTATTCATTTACATGTTATCATGTAACAAAGATAGATGGATAGATATTGTAAAGCCCTTTGAGGCAAATTTGTAATATTGGACTGTATAAATAGAATTAACTTGATCTGACTTCTCACCATCAAGTCTTTAAGCACCAGTGAATATCAGTCCACACCACCAGTTTGTAACACATGCTTTGTAATAATTGCGAATAATTTGAATCATCTAAGCAATTTATAACCAAGAAAAAGTGCTTTTCTGGTTCCAGTTTCTTAAATCTGAGTATTTACTGCTTCTCTGTTTTTACTCTGTTATTATATGATTGTAAACTGAATATTTTGACACTGTTTTGACACATCACTTCTAGGAACTTGAGATCAGCATTCTCCCTATATTGTAATGATCAACTGATTAATGAGAAAAATGTGAAATGAATCAATATATTAATTAATGTAATTGTTGTAATGCCTTTCTTAAAAACAGTATATATGTGTTTTGCCTTGTGATAAGAGGACGTAGAGCATGTGACACAGTCAACCATTAACAGTGACATAACCCCTCCTATCAGGATTAATGAAGGACTTTGTTTCCTCGTCATCCCTTTTTATTTCCTACTTGTTTGAACTCATCGCTTTTTTCCCCTGGTAACCAGCCACACACCTCCTCACTGCTGCAGTTGGAGGAGCTGTGTTTTGTCAGCGTGTTGATTAATTATAGGAGTGGAGACACTGTAGTTGTTGTGTATGTGAATGAGCGCATGTGTAGGCTACAAACGAGCAATTCTTGAACCAAGCATCGTGTGCTTCATTTTCTATCAGTATTTCCTGCAACAATGAAACATTTTCCTGTTTTTTTTTTTAAGGGGTTTGTACAGTGAAAATACGGCAAATGTGGTAGCAGAGCTTGAGCCAAAAAAGCCCATGCAGTCCCAGATGGTCGCAGTCATAACAGTTTTATCTGAGAAGTGCATTGGCTCAATCAACCACCTTTGCAACTCATGAGTCATTTTTATGTCAAAACTAATGACACAAAAGCAAAATATGGCAGAACATCACTGCTGTTTATTCTGCTATTTCCCTACATCATTTGTTAATTAGAAATACTTGAAAAATGTCCTTGTTTGTCATGGTCTTAATCCCCACTCTGCAGGCAAACTGCCCTCCTTAGGAGAGAAATGTGTTTTGTTGTGGACCCTTCTCACACCTCTGCTTCCTGACAAAGTCCCAGAATAGAACTTAAGTGCAGCTTTGTTGCCTTTTTGTTGCTTTAGTGAGCATCAGGGTTAAATGTATGAAATGAATGCAGCAGCGGCGTCTGTGTGTGTGTGCAGCATGTGGGCTGGCAGAGATACAGTAGATGGTGTTTTCTTCCGAGATTTGTTTTTTTCTTTTTCAAAGTACAGATTTTGTTAGTTTATTGGTCTTCATAGGTTGAGCATTGTCTGATGACACAAGTACATTTACTTAACTATTGTACAATGGCAAAGTTTGCCTTTATACATTTCAGGGGGATTTATTACATATACTATATACTTTTTATTCCATTATATTCATCTGACAGCTATAATTACTTCTTGCTTTGTTCTACACATAAAATGCATATGTTTATAAAATGTAAAATCTTGTTTTAGATTAAAATACCAAGAGTTACACCAGCTACAACAAATGCGACAAATGCTGCATCTTAATACATCTGCAATAATAATACAAGGGTCATTATCCATTAGCAGCAAATGTTTGATAAGAAGCTATATAACATGGGTCAGCAATCTTGCAAAAGTTGCAAATTATAAAATTGTTGAGGGGCCAAATAATTTTATTAGAGGACCACTATTTGCCTAGTGCTTCTGTATGATTTACAACTTTGCGGAGTGCAGTATACGAACTGTTACCATGGCTTTTGGGGGAGCTCAGGCAATAATGGCGCGTCGACACACAGACTGGGTGGGAAAGTTTGTTTTCTCTTATTTTTGAGTTAAAGATATTGCACCACCACACTTCCATGGTGATGGCAAGAATATTTATTAAAGTGAATTAGTGATGAATCACCCTCATGTATAATACCCTTCTTTTATGTGTGATCCATGATGATGAAGGTACAGAACAATAGAAATGCATGGCAAAAAAAAACATAAAGTCAATATTTTAGAGACCGCCTAAAATTCCACAAATAATGTTTTTTGGGGAGTTCATGTCATACTAAGAGGAACAAAGCTCTTCCTTGCTCCCCTGTAGTTCAAACCCTGGTGGACTGACATTGTTGGAAGCTCTCAGTTTGTTTACAACTGTGCCCACAATACATTAGTACATTTCACCTGAAAATATTTGGTCTGACTGCACCTTTAGACTAAAGTGTTAATACGCTTGTGTTGGTCCATATCCATCTGTCATCAGACCTAAAACTGTGCTGTAAATCAATGTTTAGCTTCTGGGGTCCTGCAAACACATACAGTATTCATGTCACTGTTTGACTGGGAAAATAGATAAAACTGTGTGTTTGTGTTTGGTAAGGAGACTCTCTTGTCCTGTATAAATTGTGAGTGTTGGATCCATCCCAGGCAGTATGGTGCGTGATACTGGAGCATCATTACACCGTCTGTCTGCTATTGATTTCTCAAACATCAGTACCCTGTATGTTTAGATACAGTGAGCTGGACTTGATGAGACTGATCCCACATTGTGCAGTGGAAATATAAAGCCCGAAACCACATCAAGTCTCACTAATGTCTGCTTTTTCCCTCCGTGGTGCCCTGCAGTTTTCACTTTTTAGACACTGAGCACATCGATATCTCCCTGGCTGAGCTGTATTTACAGCTGCGGGAGCGGATGAACAGTGCATTAGCTGTTTACTTTCTGAGGTGGAAACTGCACACTTGACAATTGGGAGAACGTACAGCCAAATACTTTACGGCCCAATTTTCCTCGCCAAGGCCTCCCTCGGTAGATTAAACGCTCCCTCACACACAATTAAAGATGCTGAAAATGTGTCAGCCCCAGTTACACCATCAGGCACTTTTGCATCTTACTGCAGCTCCAGATGACTTTAACACGTATATTTTAGTAGCGTTCCTAAAACTCAAGAAAAGGGTAAAGGAAAAGAAACACAAGGAGTATTTTACAGACTTTTTCTTTTCAAATTCACTTGGCTTTTATTCACATTTCATATCTGACATCTGCACCGTCTGTCCATACATTCTACTACTTTTCTGAATGGTCCTTTTCTCCCCATCCTAACTGATGAAAACAGGAGGCAAGACCACCACCATCACATTAATAATAATAATAATAATAATAATAATAATAATAATAATAAGCAGCACTGAAGAAAACAACTTTCGAGTTCTCTCTCCCTTCATCACCAGCATCTTTGTATTAAATTTACCTGAATGTAACCATCAAGGATCAGTTAAAAAAACAAACATGGAACTAGCTTGTGATAAATAAATCATTATCATCATCGTCATCATCATCATCATCATCCTACCATCATCAGACTCCACACTCGAAATAATATTCATAATAATAATAATAATAATGTAGGATACAAACTCAGAAGTTAAAAAAAAGTGACTCAAGCTTTTTTTAGGAAAGAAAACATGATTGGTCTACAGTGTGTGTATTTGTGTGTGTGTGTGTGTGTGTGTGGTTGTGCAATGGTCAACTGTATCCTATTGCGAGCCAGAAACACATCTGCCCTGTCGCTGCAGTAGCAATAATGTTCCTACATCCAGCTCCAACCTTCACTATAGATCCAGTGAGACTAGATCTGCTCTGGTCCTGTTTGTTTGTTTGTGGTCATTAAGACAGTTGTGCGGAGAGCAGACAGATACTGTCTGGTACCAGTGAGCTACAGCAAGGTGCTACAACAGCAGGTGAGGCTCTCCATACTGCCAACAGCATGTTAGCACTAGTTACACTGCGACGGGCCACGACCTACAGCTCCTACACACGCATTCATGCACTCCATGGCTTAGTATGAAATACTTTGGTCGTCATTGATATCATAATACATGATTTAGTCTCCTGTGAGGAATGGTTCTCAATGCAACTTAACATTATTTTAAACAGTGAGCAGTTTAATAAAGCCCCTTTCAGACATGCAGCTCCTTACATAAAAGTCATGACGGCAGTCCTAAGTCAGACCTAAAAACATTTCCATAACACTTCCCACAAGGGCACAAAGTCTTAATTTAATATCAATCGCATTAACATTAAGGTCACAGCAGCACAAAATATACACATTAAAGGATTAAATTCATGTCTTGTTCCCTTTTTAAAGGCCCTAAAAGTATTTTCTGCTGAAATTACAACAGATTTGGATGTTTAAAAAAGAAAAGCATTTGTATATTTAATCTTCTGCCTGCTTTAAAGTGGGCGGTTCTCATTTAGAACAAGGTGATTTCATGTATTTCAACTAATCAGATTGATCACCAATTGTTTGTTTGGATATTGTCAATCAAATCTAATCAAACTACACACACACAGTCCTGATGAAGTAGAGTAGATTAAGTTTTGAGTGCTTTTTTTTTTGGATTGGTCCTTTTTAAGTTCTGAATATTTCATGTAACAGAGAAATAATTACAATTTGAAGCCAAGTTTTCAGGAGCTTTAAGAGCACTATAACACATTCACTGCTTAATTATCATTTTTATGCACAAATGAAATAAAATCAGTTAAAACTGCTCTGTAAATTAGCCAATTTTAAGTTGCTGAGATTGTTCTCATGTCAGAGCTGCAGCAAAAAACTTTATTTAACAATTATCATGACATCCTCCTTATTTTTTTTTTAAGTTTTCATTCAGGCTAACTGCATGGAAAAAATAATGAATATCCTGTATATAACAATGCTTTACATACAGCATATAAGCAAAGAGTCAAAGTAATGTCTTGTAATTCTGTACTTGTGCATTGTTGGGCATTATAATATGATAAAATATGTAGAGTAAAATAAATGTTATAAAGTAGACTAATAAATTATGAAACTGATGAGTGGGAACTGGTGCTGAGCTGACAATGGTCATTAATTAAGACATAAACGGCAAAATAAATTAATTTAACTTAATTTTAAGCTCCACCGCTCCTTCTCACGCACCAGCTGCTAAATACTGTACAAGCATTGTGAATATAGCCAGAACCAACTTTTACGTAACCAACTCTGAATGACAACAAGCCGTCACTGATAGACGTTACCGTCTGAAAAGGGCTCAACTCATTATCAACTGCCAGCTTAAAGCCAGGAGATAAGTTCAGCATGCTTTATTTCTTTTACTGAACTTTGCATACACTCTGCAGCCATGTTTTGATCTACTCTGTATGCGATGTGAGCTTTTCGTCGGGCCCCGAGTCAATCTGACAAAAACAACATTAGTGCTAAAATTCTCTTGGACATCTGGGTTCTGCGGCCTGCCACCTGTTCTAGTGGAGACCATGAATACACACAATGGTATCCAACAGCAATGATATGGTCACTGACTGTGCGTCAGAAAGGCCTCCAGGGATAGGATTAGTGTGCTTTCTCTGCGCAGTTTTTTATTCTCATCACTAGGTGGCGGTGGTCATCTTAACACTCTCACCTCTTCACCACATCGTCAGAGGATGGGATTTCTTTCTGGATGAGTGAGACACTGATGGGATACCATCATTAATAATTTATTTCAAGTCAAAAACGAATGAAAAAGCAGCTGGAAATCCAAAAGAAGCTGGTGCCGTCCTGTTCTTTGTTTGAAAGCCTGGACCTCGTCCGTCAGTTCATCCACCATCTTTCTCTCCATCCTTTTTATCAATCCCTCTTTTGTAGAGCTATGGTGCTCTCAGTGTGGACATTCGTCCATCCAGCACCCCTTCTCTGCATTCTTTAATTTCTCTTATCAAGCCATCCATTAGACTTTCTGGTGGTCTGGTTTATGTCCTTGTACTCCCAGTTGGTTCTGCTGGTGTCAGTCACTGGTATTGGAGGTAATTTTTCAGGGACTGGGGCAATGGGAGGCTCTCGATCTCTTGAAGTCGCTCCCGACCCAACGCCAGGCGGGCCGCACGCCGACATAAGTCCATCAGAGGAAGAGGCTCAGCTGAGGAGAGAGAAAGAGAGGGAAAGATTTTTTTAAAAAACGTCAGGAGAGGATAATGCAAGTCTGTGTGGAAAACACAGAAAATGACTTGTGCATTGCTTAAAAGTGTGACTTAGGGCTGTTATGTATTGGTGTTTATACTTGCACCCCGGCCTTTAATACATGCATAATACATTTCATTATTTGTTATGCATGAATGAATGAGAAACAGAAGTTTAGCGGCAGAGAGAGTGATGATGCATCACCTTTAAATATTTAAACCTCCCCCTCCCCCTCCCCCTCACACACACACACACACACACACACACACACACACACACACACACACACACACACACACACACACACACACACAAAATGACACCTGTTTGTATCGTCACATTACTTTGAGTCCATTTAACACCATCTGTCATCCTGACTTTCTAAAGAATATTTTTTTTAATTTGGAAAACTAGTATAAAGGTTTGCAGGTTTGTGTTTCACGTTTACTTTGCTCTCTATGATGTGAGCTCCTGGTCAGACTTTTCTCTGACCTTCAAATTCACAACAGGGTTAAGGAGGTAACAGATACAGCAGGCTGCGGTCTGAGCTGCAGGACACAGACCACAGAGGAGAGGAGGTGGAAAGATGGTAGAATGTGAATGTGAATGTGTCCAAAATGTATTCGCCACTACAGCCTGATCGATTCGCTATTTTTACCATAGCACAGATCTGGGGTTGGGTTTGAATTGCTTATTCCATTTTGGAAGTCTCTTCCTTTTTCCTTTTCTTTTGCGATGTAGAAAACATTAAGGTATCTTCTTGTTATTTGTTACCAACTGTCGCTTTTGCCAGTTAAATAAAAGTAATCAACATTCATTTCAGAAAAGCTCAAAGTAAACTTTAATCTGCTGTCTGTCTCATTAAGCCAGTGCTTGTACTCAGCCTAATGAAACCTCCAGTGTAACACAACTGTACGCAAGGGTTTCTGTAGTTCACCAAGACCATCAGAGTGGTGACTCTGATCCCTTCACGTCAACTTCAGTAAAATATTTTATGCTTATTGTATTAGTATTATAACTTCACCAGCTTTACAATTCTGCATCAGGACGTCACCCATATAACGTGGATAAATAAAGGTGTTGAAAGTAAATATGCTACAGATGTTATTTGAATGCGTCATATTTAATTAACATTTCATATCTTTTGCTGCTTATCTCATTCTCAGGTGAGTGAGTTGTGAACATTAATTAGGCTGACACTCAAAGTGGCAGTTTCTGCCTTCTCAGACAACAAAGAGTGATTACAGATCAGTAACAAACATTGAAAGCTAAACCCAATTAAAGTGACAAGGGATTTGAAAAGATTCAGTTTTAATTAAATGCTTTCAAATCACAACCCAACACAGATATATTAAAATCGCCATATGTTGGCAGATAGGTGACAAGAAATTGCAGAAATGTTTGTCTTATTAAGTGTCAAGCTGTTCTACTGAAAAGTTTTACACTTTAAAATGTCACACTCAGTACATGCGTTAGTCATAATTCTTTAGTAACTAAATATAAGGAATCAATATATTGTTATCAGATTCTTTTTAAACTCATTTGTCTCAAGTATCAGTCCACTCTTTTCTCCACTTCTTCAAGAACAGGAAATGCCTCAGCACTAAAAACGTTTTTGTAGTTGTTTTAACATTCAAGCATGATGTGTAATGATGTGATTAACTGACCATTACTGATTTAATTGGCTCAGTCTTTGTGAACCTCTTCTCAGATAATTTTCATTATCGTTAATGTTTCATCTGGCAACAAAGTTGGATAATAAAAGAAGATAGGAGGATGATATGGCTGAAATCTAGGAGGAAAAATGCCCCAAGGATTAGTGGATTAGTGGACTTTGGTGATGGTCTGGCTATTGTGTGTCTGGTATGATTCGTTTATGTGTTTGGGGAAAGTCTGACATCTGATTTTTCTATAATCAAACCCAGTAGACAAATAATAAATAAAACATAAACTCCCTGAATTAATGCCAATTATCTAGTCTTTGTCATTCTCCCCTCACTGAGTGTTAACAACTTGGCCTCATAGCGTCCTCCACGTGGATTTTATAGTATCATCAGTTTCAATTAATAGTAATGACCAAGTCTTGGCCTAATTACACAGCACAGCTGAGTGGGAGAGAGGAGAGGGATATGTTACCAAAATGAACTCTGTGATCCAACAACTCGCCCACCCGTCCTCAAACCCTTCCACCTAAGGAAAAACTCCCACAGTCAGGCACATACTGTGCAGCATAAACTGTACTGTATATGCAAAAGACTTAGAACTGAATGACCCCCACCAACACAATGGCACCCAATCACCATGACACCAACAGGAGGAAAATGGAGGAAAATGCAGGGAAATGGGGCAGAACAGCAACAAAGGAAGTCATTCAGATGGAGAGGAGGGGAGAGAAACAGTAAAAAGTAAAGAGGAGGGAGGAAAAATACAGAGCTAAGGTTAAACAGGGGCAGGGATGCAGATTATAACTGGCAAAAGACCAAGAAAACCTCCAATAACTTTATGTATAATTGTGTTGCATTTGCAGAAAAAGGACTCATGGAAGTAGAGATAGATTCAAGATAATGTCTTTATCTTGTAACAAGCTTTAATTAGTGGTGCATATCTTATTTTGGAGGTGTGAAGTACTTTGTGAGGATCCTGAATGACATTAGAGCACAGCTAGTCTATCAGTCTGTCTCTCCCTGCTGTTCTTGTTTAGGAAAAACCTACAGACTGCCATCACCCGTTGTAATTCTGGACGTCCTCTACCACCTGCTTCTGTAGCTGCACCGCTGTGTGTGTTCAAGGTTAAACCAACAAGATAAAGGACAACCCACTCTATACACACACACACACACACACACACACACACACACAAACACACACACACACACACACACACACACAACTCGTCTATCCACTTCAGCTCTACACGTGTGTCCTTGCAATGGGACTGTCACATTAATGCTCAACCACACTCACAGAGACCACAGTCGAGCATAGTCACAACGACACGTCGGCAGTGTTGATTTTTTTAAGTCTGACCTCCGTTTGACTCTCAATTACACTGCCTTTATGAGAGCTGCACTCACCACATTAATGGAGTATACATTAGATGAATGCTGCTGTATGGTGGCTAAGTGGCATCCACATTTAAATACAGTGAGCTGCAGACAAATGATTCACACAGGTCATTTTGTGTGCTCAAAGGACAATGCACAGATATTAGGACTGCAACTAATGATTATTTTCATTATAAATTCATCTGTTGATTATCTTCTGACAACTTCATTATTCAGTTGATCTAATAAATCTCAGAAAAATGGTGAAAAAGCCCATCACGATTTGCCATTTCTCCAGGGTGATGTCAAATTGCTTGTTTTCTCCAAACGACAAAACAAAGCCCAAAGATATTTATTTTACAATGTCATTTATCTGAGAAAACAAACCCTAACATCTGAGAAGCTGTAACTAGCAAATGTCTGGCAATGGTGGCACAGTGGTGTACCAATAATCAGTTATATTTCCAAAGTCCAAAAGATATTTATACAATCCAGATATCATTATAATTAAATCTTTTTGAGATGGGGGGGGGTTATGATACAATTGTGTAAAGTGTTATTTCTCTTTAAAGTAGCAGTGAGACATTGAATATTTTCCTTCTGCACTGCACTACAGTTGAAGAGTTTCTTTAATCCAAGTGCTCGATAAATAACTTCCAGAATTAATCACTTGTCTCATGAATTAATCAATTAATCATTTCAGCTCAGATGTACACAAACATATACAAAAATGACTAACAAAGAGCTGCTCACATTGGTTTAAATCATTATTGGAGTTAAATGTAGTTACGGTGTGAAAGCTTGTTATCAAGAGAGTTCATTAACGGCTCTAAATATAAACACAGTAAGCTGGCTTTACTGCCACCGTGACAGATAACCTGTGAGACAGAAAGTGTTTACTGACACCTGATTTGGATTTTTGACATCAATAGAATATTAAGCAAGTATTTATTTACTTTGAATGTTAACTGTATGTAGAGTCTAAACTAAACTCCGAGAAGTCTAGAAAAAGTGGAAAAATTTGGTTTGAAAGACCAAAATACGATCTATCACTGTTAAACCGTTATCTATGCTGTGTGACAAGACACAAACACATGATGTTTACACAGGCACACAAACCCAACAAGCTGCATTTTCCTACACACACACATTTGGCTCATTAGCTGCCCTGCAGAAAAATACTCATTTGTTCTGCCGACTTGCAGAGGAAATCAGCTATTTGATTGGAAGGGTCAACTGAATCCACAGAAGAAGACTGGATCTGAAAATGTCAGTTTATGGTTATTGTTGCTAAAACCTTTTTTGAGTCTTACCGAGTACGCTCTCTGCGTGGGAGGGTGGCTTGTGTGTGCGTGTAACGTGCATCAAGGGAAGCAATTTTGTACCAAATCAAATTAATTTGAGCACTCGTGGGCTCTTTAGTGCTCAGTTATCTGGAGACAATTTCAGAAGACAAGGCTGTGGTTACCGAGAGGAAAGAGCTACAGCCAGCTCTGTGTGTTTCTCTTTCTTTCCCCTCTGGAGAAAAAACTATAATAATAAAAGTGAAAAATAGACTGAAAAAGTCAAAATTCACCAGTTCACCACAAAGTCTCTACAGCCAAAACAAAGACTTAATTAGCCTCAGTTAGTGAAATAACGGGAAGAAATCAAAAGACCCTCAAATCTCCAGGAGGAGTCATTTCTACCTCACTGTGGAAAGATCCAATACACCGCTGCTTTATCTGCCAGATAATATAAGGAACTATGAATCCAATATCTACAATCCATTATTAATACTTTTGTAATGAATTCTAATGATGATCTAATTTATTAAAACAATGTCTTATAACGACTGCTACAAATCAAAACTGTGTCTTAACTGATCTTTTATTTTTTTGGACACACTTTGGGGCACTGGAAACAAGTTGTAAAT